ATCCATTAAAAAGGGTGAGTTGTCACACCATAGAATCTAATTTGTAAGAATTATTTTTTAACTTTTAATAAATAACAATTAGAATTACATAATTTCTTTTATTAATATAAATACTAACATAAATAAAACTATCAATTAAAACATCAATATATACATCAATATTTGTTTTACAAAAATCATGTATACTACTCAATATTTATACAATCATATTATAACTATTCTATCATTAGTTTAAAAAAATAATTAAAACAAAAAGAAACAGAACTTAAGGAATCCTGGTCAATCTCACACTCATATTCCCTTGACCTGACCTGAAATTATTTAATCACATATAATGAGTTCTAAAGAGCCAAGCAAGCAACTAAATCTTATGACAAAAAAGTAATATGTCTGTTAGTAGTTAAATCATAGAAGTAATATTTATATGATTATGAATCTGTATAAAAATAGTAGAATTTGCAAATAATAAACTAGTATTGTACAAAATCTTAGTAAAGCAGCACAGAGGGGAACTAGTAAATAAGTAAATGTGCTAAATCAATAAACCAATCATCATATCAGCACTATCAATTAATAAAAAATTATATTGAGTGGGTAAAACTAAATCATCGATAAAGACTCTTGAAACTATATCAATACAATAAAATCTTATAATGATGTGCACATACTATCCAGTTATTTTATATCATTATCAAATCAATACCTTAATCACATGCTCCGTATTTCACATACTTAATATGTCACATGTTCAGTTCTAGTATAGTAAATCAATAATAATAACAATAAGAGTGAATCAATAGCGTTATCAATAACAATTTAGTAATAATATCAGTGTATATATCAGTGCTAGTAAATCTAGTAGCCATAATAATAAAATAATACAATAATAATAAATCAATACATTATCAGTAAAGTCATACATTAATAGTGAATATGTGACATATATTTCAATAGTCATACTAAACAAGTAAGAAGTTCTAACTATCACGGTATTTTTCAATAATCACTGAACGATAGTTGATAATTATTGACTCAATTATTGACCTTATTTTTATATGAGTTTATCCTAAACTATAACTCTTAATATTCAGTCCTATGATTGGCAATCATATAATTATCAATCATTTAACTTACACTCACCTCATTGGTGGCCCACAATCCATCAAATTACACTTCAATCAGTAATACATTAAACCATCCATAATCATCAATTAATTAATCAATGAACATACACTAAACTATAATCACTTAAATAATTGCAACCCTACACTACAATCAGATAGCCCAATGCACAGCCCTACATAGTGCTTTGACTTCTTGATCTCAATCATGTCCATATCACTTCACTAGGAGCTACATACATCAAATCATTCATCACTAGCTATTTAAGCTAGTGATTGACCAGGTTGATCCAATTAAGCTAGCTCAGGATAACCTAATGGATTATGCACCCTAATTACTTCCAATTAAACCTCAAACAATTTCTAAATTTCATCAAATCTCCCTGAACATCACTCCTAATAAATTGGACTTAAGTAACCACCTTGATTCAATCCCTAGCTGACTTGGTCAACTAAACCTAGTTTTGGTCCACCCAAGTCAACATACGTTTATCTTGCTCATGCATTCAAATCAAACCTGTTAAATTCCTATAATCAGTTAATTATATGAAGCAAGCACATTCAAACCATTATTTAGTCAATCATTGATAGTTTGATAGGGTCAAACTTCTTATACATTTGACCACTCATTCAAACCTCAACTTCATTACTTTAAAACCATGGCATTTCATTCCACTAGCATGTGCACTCTCCCATGTTCACCTTAGTAGTCAATTTGACCAGTTGACTAGTCAAACAATCAAATCATTTTAATATACATATTTCCCTCTGAAGCAATTCATTCCATCAGTTCAAACTCATTCTAGTACATTCCTAAGCACCCTCTAAACCTAACCTAAAAAATAGATTAGTCCTAAGCAGCTCCAAGTGGTCCCACTTCCCCATGTGAAGACAAAATGACCTATACAAGTCATTATAGCTTGCTTTGATGATTCCCTTTCCTTCTAACCACCAATGGACACTTATCAAACATCTAAATGCTCCCTTAAGCCATCATAATCATCCAAGCAAGCCTTAGGGTTTAAATTGAGCAAAAAAGAAAAATTTCATTCATTTCAACCTATCTTACGGAGCAGATTTTATGCTCCATTTGTTTCTTGGAAGAAAATCCTGAAGGAAGTGCAGGACATGTGGTTTAGGGAGTTTAATATTAGTAAGTTGTAGTATTATTAACATCTATTCATATTTTATTAAGCTAACAAAGAATATTTTTTGTTCTAATTTATTATATACAACAAGATTTGTATTAGTTTTCTAAGTGTGGTACTCATATCAGAGTAAATTTTGAGAAACACGGAGCAACTCACCTGCGAGAGATGTTCACATACATTAGGAGGACAAGCAAGCGATCACTTTGAATTGAAGAGGGTATATGGGTCGAGCTTAGTAGTGCTTGGGGCAACCTAAATTACAGAGTGATGAGGGAGCAGAACAAACATAATTGAACTTTTGACGTGCAAGGCCTGGGTAAAGTCCCTCCATACTAGGAGCTCAGTTTTACATACTAAGCATATGTGACGATTGATAAGAATTTTAATAGATTTTATTAAATTTTTTATTATGCATGCTAATCTAGGTATAATACAAAAGGAGATGCTTGATAGATAATTCACTACAATTGAGTTGCCCAGTAACACCCACAACCACCAAGAAGACCAACAATGGGTGAATGGGCGACCGAGGAGGGCTTATGCAAGTATATAAGTTTACAATACTTAGAGAAATATTATAAATGACAATTATACGATTATTATTCTTAAGTTATTTTTTGAAGGATGAGTATACATAATATTGAGAGAGCTAGACTGTAGCTAAAGAGGGATCCTCTGAGGGTTCCGCATATATTTTTTTACTATACCACTTGGTCGCATGCAATAGGCAGAATGCAAAATGGATGAATTTATGGGTTAAACTATTCTATCTCTAGCTACTATGCAAACAACTAGGAGAGTTTATAACTTGATAGCAGAGATATAAAATGTCTAAAAATCACAAGTGAAGATCAACATTTAGATATAGGATTAGCTTCGAAGTTTGAGAGATCAGATTAGTGGATTAGTGGAAATCACCTTTCACCTACATCGGCTGAGTAGGAGAGTGAGGATATAGATTTTGCTTAGGTTTTCTATGTAGGCAGGGGCGGATCCAGCTCCTTTTTTTAGGGTGGGAAAAAAAAAATTTTTTTTGGGGGATGGGCAAAGATGCTTAGGATTGATAAAATTAGGACAAAAAATTTATTTTAGGTGGGGCAAAATGTGCAAAATACCCAAAATATTCTAAAAAAATCCCTCTAAATATTAAAAAAAAAAATTTTGAGGGTGGGCATTTGCCCACCCTTAGGCCAATGTGGATCCGCCTATGTATGTAGGGGTTCTTGATGTATTTTACTTTTTTATGTATAAATTTATGTTTACGTTAGCAGTATTGTAGTAATTGTAGAGCAGTTAGAATATAATTGTCTATTTGAGAAGTTGGTATATATGATTGTACAAAATTATGTTTCTTATGTTTATTTTAGCATTTTCATTGAAATATTAGCATTATTAATTACTATTTTTAAACTGCTTGGATTATTATTGTTGAAAGCTCAATAACTGATTGTATGTGCTATTTTTTAATTAATGATATAGGTTTCCGACAGATTTGTGGTGGAATTCTGCCACATCATGGAAATGACGTCCATGTATCGTATTTTGTGATAGAGCAGTTCGTCATAAATTGCAGCGGATTTGTGGCAGTATTTTCATCACAATTTATGACGGCAATTCCGCCGCAATTTGTGGCTGAAATTCCGCCGCAAATTCGTCGTAATTTGCGATAGAATTTGCATCAGGAAGCTAAAACGAAGGCGACATTTTTTCATAATCAATTTCATTGTAAATCCGCCGCAAAATATTTGTAATGGATGGGTTCTATCACATTTACTTTTGAGACACGACTTTTACTGTCGGAAATTTTTCCATCACAAATCCGCTGCAAACTAAAATTTGTGACTGATTTATATTGTTTTACATCTGATTTATCTGCCGCAAAAACCTACCTTTTATGTAGTTTCATATTCATTTCTCAAGTTATTAAAATACTAAAAATTAATAAATTTATTTGATTTTACAAATAACTAAATACGTTTCATATAATCAATATTTTGTTTGTGCATGTAACATACATAAATGACCAAAATAAAATATTTCGAATAAAATTTTCAATTTAAAATTATTGAAAATGAGTATTTTACCTATTTAATTTACTTTTAGATTAATATAATATGAAAAATAATTATTAATTATATATTATACTCACATCAAAATAAAATAAGAATAATCGAATTTGAAGAAGAATATATCATTATATCCTAATCAAATATCTTTCCCACCAAAATGCCCCTTTAAGCGTAAATGTCATTCTTAAAGCCGCTGGTTAATTTTAACCTTTAATCACCGCGTCAAAGATATTCTCTAACGAATTTCGAAAGTCTTACCGCATAAAACCTCTATGCGAACTACAGATCCGCCGTCAGGATACTTCTAATTCTACGAACGGCAGATCGTGCGTACGCATACAAACTTTCCTATGCGGGCATGTCGGTTGCCTCAAATTTCATCTAACTAATTAATACTTCCCTCGCAAGACGCGCATTCTAATTTCAAAGTATTCTCACCCGCGAAGCATCCTTAAGCCCCACTTCTCCACCTCATCGCTGGCGCTCGCTCGAGGATTGGCTGGGGCCGCATGGTGCCAGCTTTGAATCCCCACCGCGGATCACCACAACGCGTTCCTTTAGTTTTAAATAGAAATTAGCCATAAGACAAATATGCCCTTACATTGAATGATAAACCCCCAATAGCCGAACAAACCAAAGGACTCCACCGACTTTTCACGGATCTTAGCTGTGGTTTAGCTGTTCGTGATATTCCCTTCGATTTCTATCTCTATCGCTTCCTCTCCCTTCCCCCTCTCAGGAAAAAACGAAAACCCTAGCCGTTTTTCTCTCTCCTCATTCCTCTCCCTGTAGCTGAAGGATGAGATGAAGAGTGGTACACAACTGCTTCTCATTCATCTCCTAATCCTCGCCGTCGCCACCGCAGTTGCAGGTGCGAGGGCGGGATTCGCTAGCCGGGGGTTGAGTGACGCGGAGGCGGGGTATATCCGGCATCGGCAGCTTCTTTACTACCGCGATGAGTTTGGTGACAGGGGAGAGAAGGTTGACGTTGACCCATCGCTTTTCTTTCCCAACTCGCACCTCCGAAACGCCTACATTGCACTTCAGGCTTGGAAGCAGGCGATCATTTCAGATCCTTTGAATCTGACCGGGACATGGGTGGGATCTAATGTCTGCAAATATAAGGGCGTATTCTGCGCGCCGCTGCCGTCCAATCACAGCCTCATCGTTGTCGCGAGTATCGATCTCAACCACGCCGACATCGCCGGGTACCTGCCAGAGGAGCTCGGGCTTCTCACTGACCTCGCCGTATTCCACATCAACTCCAACCGGTTCTGCGGTACGATTCCACACCGCTTTGATCGCCTCCGCCTTCTCTTCGAGCTCGATCTCAGTAACAACCGTTTCGCCGGGAAGTTCCCTGACGTTGTGCTACGTCTCCCTTCTCTTAAATATCTTGACCTCCGGTTCAATGAGTTTGAAGGCACGGTACCGTCTGAGCTTTTTGATAAGGATCTCGACGCCATTTTCATCAACAGCAACCGATTCCGTTTCGATATCCCTAACAACATCGGGAATTCTCCGGTCTCGGTCATCGTCCTCGCTAACAATCGCTTCGGCGGGTGCTTGCCGGCGAGCATTGGTAACATGTCGAAAACCCTGAACGAAATTATACTTATGAACAATGGGCTTAGATCTTGCTTCCCTAAGGAGATTGGACTACTTAAGAAGCTCACCGTGCTCGATGTGAGCTTCAACCAACTAATCGGCCCGCTGCCGAACGAGATCGGCGGTATGCGGAGCTTGGAACAGCTCGATGTAGCGCACAATTTACTCTCTGGTCAGATCCCTGCATCGATTTGCAATCTCCCGCGTCTTGAGAACTTTACATTCTCTTATAATTTTTTCACCGGAGAGCCACCGGCCTGTATTGGGTTACCATCGTTTGACGATAGGCGAAACTGTTTAGCTGGCCGACCGGCGCAGAGAACGCCTGCGCAATGCTCTGCGTTCGGGCGTCTTCCCGTCCGCTGCAGTTCGTTCAACTGTGCACCGTTTGTTCCATTCCTTCCCCCGCCACCGCCTCCATCCCCGCCGCCACCTTCACCGACCGTCTCACCACCACCTTTGCTGCCCGTCTCACCGCCACCTATAGTTCCATCATCGCCTCCAACACCTGTAGTTTTTCCACCTTCTCCTGTTAACCCATCGCCTCCCCCATCCCCTGTTCCACCACCACCGTCCCCTCGATCACCTTCTACTCCATCCACCTCTCCTCCGCCTCCACCGTCACCTTCACCGTCACCTTCACCTCCTCCACCATCTCCACCTTTGTCATTTTCACCGCCACCTCCATCTCCTCCTCCACCATCTCCACCTTTGTCATTTTCGCCGCCACCTCCATCTCCTCCTCCACCTTCTCCATCACCACCACCTCCTTCACCTCCTCCACCATCCCCTTCGCCACCCTCACCTATATCTTCC